AAGTTCTTTTGGGTTTTTTTTTTTTTTTTTGTATTTGTATTTTTGGAGCATTATAGAGACAAGAAGAGGATATGTATGTATAAGTAACCTGTCTCAATAAAGTATTTTATGGTTGATGCTCAGATGTATATTGTTTTAGAGATGTTATTAGCTGTTATAATGGAGCAGGAATCCTATTGTATTTATACTATTTTGCCAATTTTGTTCTGCCCTAAAAGTGTCTGGATGTTAGAGACCATAAGTCATGGAAACCCCAAACGTACATTTGCAATTTAGTTCATATTTGGGCTCTTAAGAGCTGGAGTCAAAATTACCTTCTTTTCTAAACCCTTCAAGCCCTAAAGTAATCTATACATCTGTTCACTGCATTTTTCTACCATTTTGAATTTTCTGAAAAACGTACTTTTCCAAACTCATGGTTTTAATAAAGCATAACGAAATAGAATGGCGAATGAAAATTCCAGGTACTTATTTGTAGTTTCAGTTCTACAAATTATTGCTTACTAGAGTTTAAACACAACAGTTCACAAAAAAAAAGGTTTGGTTACACTTTATTTCGATAATCCACTTTAGACATTCTACTAACTGTAAGTAACTTTGCAACTACGTCAACTAACTCTCATTAGAGCATTTGTAGACTGTTAGGTTAGGGTTAGGGTGCCGTACTTACAAAGCAGAACGTCTCTTGAGTGACCATCAAAATAAAGTGTTAGTAGATATTAAGCAGACAGTCTACTAATACTCTAATGACTGCTAGTTGACATGTAGTTGCAAAGTTATTTACAGGTAGTTGAATGTCTAAAGTGGACTATGAAAATAAAGTGTTACCAAAAGTTTTACAGGTTAGAATGCCACATATATTTACCATAGAAATAAATAATAATTAAATAATGACATGCTAGTAACTTGCTAATCATGCTAGAAACATGCTAGTCGCTTGCTAATCATGCTAGTAGCATGCTTATCATGCTAGCAACATGCTAGTAACATGCTAATCAGGCTAGAAACATGCTAGTGCTTTGCTAATCATGCTAACGACATGCTAGTCACTTGTTAGTCATGCTAGCAACATGCTAGTAGCATGCTAATCATGCTAGCAACACGCCAATCATGCTAAAAGCATGCTATCAACATCTGTTTAATCTATTTAAATTTTCAAACTTCAGGCTTTTACAACTGCTTTAAACTTTCAGGCTAGGCTTTCTCAAGCCAACCTAAAGTTTGCCTTGACAAACTTGTTTTTATCTAGTTATGCTATTGTAATTATTTATATAGGTTTTAAAAGCATTTTATAGAAGACAAAAACGTTAAATGGCTCCTTAATCTTAAACACGCGCTTTAAGGAAATAATATTTGTTTGTTTGTTTATTTATTTTCATTTGTTGTTTATTCTAGGCGTTTTGTATTTGACCGCTTTTCTCGCATTTCCATTATTTTCATGGCGCGTTCAAGTCATGTCGGATAAATCGTATTTACGAGTTGAACACACATGAACACCACCACAAAGTCGTTATTAGGAGTGGGAAACTCGACATTTTCTTTAAGCCCCGAGGTTCCGAGTTGGGGGCGTGTCTGTGAGAAAACGTGTCAGGACACATTTTGGATGCATCCAAAGACTAGATATGCAGCATTTGTATTGATGGTAAATTTGTTGAAATTAATAAAATGATTAATTTTTTTGTAATGTAAAATAAAACTATATGTTACATATACAAAATATTATATTATTGTATAATTACCAAAGAACATATAATGATTCAGTTTATATTACCCTCATAAATTGAATAAAAACAGAAAAAAGCAAAAACACAATGACGCACATTCTTTATTCGTCATTTTGTAGATGTAAAGTTTAAAAAATCGTTGAATTTTATGGGAAAAAAGTTCAATCGCCATATTGCTCCGACCAAAGTGACTTGAACGCAACGCACCTGACGTCGTTATTACGACTTGTCAACTCGTAAGTACGACCGTCCCAGGAGGACTTGAACGCAGCATCAGTGCCGTGTGTCTGCAATGCATGCTGGTGAATGTAGTCACCAAAAGCGTCAAAAATGGTGGATGTTCAGCCTCCACCTTTCCGAACCCTGGACGATTTTCTGCTGGGTTCGGCCCGATTCTCGGTGCCTGATGTCCGTAACTTAGATCGGTGGAACAACCGCATCATTAACAACCTGCTGTATTACCAGTCCAACTATTTTGCCTCCGCGGTGGCATTTCTTCTCGTAGTCGGGTAAGGAAACCTATTCACTGCTCTTCTGTCAGCCAAACGGGTAACAACACTTGTGTTGTGCTCTGTATTAAATGCACTTCTAAAAATGCTCACGATGTATTACTTTGTAGTGTGACTTAAATGGAAAAAAAAAAAAGGTTAGGCTATTGTTATATCATTACAGACATTCACATCTGTTTGGAGTTTCAGTTTTAAGTGATAATGCAAATATGTTTAAATGGCTTTGATAGGTTTATAAAAGACGTTGTTTTGTTGCCAATCTGTCACTAACTAGACAGTTATGAAGCAGTAGCCTAATCATGTTTTCAAACCCATCCCAGGTTAAGAAACAATTATCTAATCCATTTCAGTGGCCCGGCCGTACCTATTTACTATTTATTTGAAATGTACAAAAGAAATTAATAGCTTGAGCAATGTGTATAAAAAGGCTATAACAGTGCGATTTTTCATCGTGCACGACAATTGTCTGCACGATCTGCTTTTGAAGAAATATCGCTATATCACAGCGCGCTTTCGGCTGCATGTCGTTCTTCAGATGTTACTCAGCGGTAGAGTTTCACTCACGGGGCACTGCACTTGTTCGCAATCACAAAAGTAGATTTGCATGTGCTTTAAAGCTGGTGTTCTGAGTCAGTGTCTGAGATTTTCTGTTACACCGCGCGGAGTTTAGATTCATGAATATTCATGAGTTTCCTGTTTCGCGTTAAAGTGCTACTAATGTTTCACTTTGAAAGCCTTTAAAACAACAACAACACAAAAACTGGTATAAATGTATCTTTGGCGGCATAATAAAGTTTCAGTTGTGATAAATACTGTATTTCCTTATTGCATTTGGTGGCCTACATAACTTCAACCAGACTTTTGTATTAAATTAAATTAATGTCATGTTATTAATGTTTCAGTTATTTCAAATATAAACGTTCTTAATGTTTTCCCGCAAAACACACAATGCTCTGTATGGTTAGAGGCATAGATGGTAAGATGGTAAAATGAGCAACCATGCTTTACATTTCATAATATTTTAATCCTATTCTGCAAGCTTACATAACAATTAAAAAGTTAACATTTTAGTTACATGTGAATGAAATAATAAACCACATGTAAAAGATTAAAGTCACTCATGATGGTATTTTTAATTTATGAATAGAATAAAGAGCAAAATATTAATTATATTCACATATGTGTATATGCAAGACATGACATACTTGACAAACGTTTATGCCTGGATTTCAACAGGCATATACACACTGTTGTGATTATTCTCTGCCATCACATAGTCTCAGACTCATTATTTGGATAATAGCTTTGAATTCCAAAGATAATACAATAACCTTTTTTGATCATTTTCTTTTGACCAGGTAACCAGGTAAAAAAAAAAAAAAGACAACCTACCCAACTTTCATTCAAAGTTATGATTCCATTTATAGTTTTAAAACACAACTACAACAACATTCATAATGAGTATTTTAGAAGCCAACAAGCAATATTTTTTTTCTAAAATCAATTTTATACCATGGTCACCTTAGTTCAAATCACATAAAGGCCCATTTGTGTAAATGATTGGGTGATGGAGACCAGTTCTGGACAATTACATATGTAATGTAATGTGTGATGTCAAACAATTTAACATACGAGGCAACAGACAGGGTAACATAACAAGCTAACAACCAATAAGTCAGTGCAGTGCTGAGGCACGAGACGGATGAGGCATAAGTCAAAGTCCTTGCTGATTTCACAAGGTTTGGAAAGCTACCTGAGGGTCTTTCCAGACATGAAAAAAAAATCATATTTCTTAGAAGGGCTAAGAGCTTCATTATTGAAAGTGAGTATTTGAAATACACCTGGGTTCAGTGGCTTCAATGATTGTCTATAATGATCGATCACACCTTTATACTACTTTTTAGATGAAGTGTTGTATTATGTTTGCAAAGAAGGGACATTGGCAGAAGTGGTCAGCAGCAAAAAAAGTGCCCAAGAAATTTAAGACAAGTTCCACAGTAGCCCAATATGTGCACACTGTGGCCCTGGTGCCATTAGAAGGTGCTTTTATTGTCCTGGCATGTCTGTGGACATTAAATATGTGAATCCTTCCACAGGTGTTGATACTAAACATTTGCATTGTTACTGATCAAAACAGGTTTTTCCAATATATTTTATATCACATGCTGTGCTGCCTGCCAGAGAAAACAATGTTCTCTGAAAAATCAAAATGAATATAAATGATTTAAAAAAAATAATATATACAAGAAATGATGGATTATGCATGTGATGACAAATATAATGTATATCACATTGATTACTTTCCACATGCAGAACCGCTTGATGACCTGTGCTTGAGAACAATATCCCCACACACAAGACCAAGTAGACACTTGTGTGTGTTAGGATGTGTTTCTTTCTTTCTTTTTAACATTACAGTGCATTTTTAAACTTGCAAGATATGTTCATTTGTGTGTGTAAATCTAATTTTGTTTAAATCTAATGTGATTCTTGCAAAGGCTGGTATCACTGGGACTGCATGAGCAAGTCTGGAGGCAGTTTTTATTTGTCCTGGATATAAGGCCCTGTGTAAATTTTGTATTTTTGATTAAATATGTTGTTTTTTTCTATTTTGTCTTTTTCATGCAAACATTTCTAAATAAAACTTTAATGATCGAATGTGATTCTTGCAAAGGCTGGTATCACTGGGACTGCATGAGCAAGTCTGGAGGCAGTTTTTAATTTGTCCTGGATATAAGGCCCTGTGTAAATTTTGTATTTTTGATTAAATATGTTGTTTTTTTCTATTTTGTCTTTTTCATGCAAACATTTCTAAATAAAACTTTAATGCAAATTCATTCACTCTCTTTGTTGTGTTGTTCAGCATAATTTTTTTACAGTAGTAATTAGGTTTACAGTAAATGTGCAAACTAATATATGGGATATTACTTTAGCTACTTAATTTGTGAAAATCACAATTTTGTTGTGTGAATCAACATAAAAATGTGTTACAAGTTATACCAGCTATAAGGAATGTGAAAGAAAGAATATGATGCAGAATCACAACTGAAACTTTATTATCCCAGATACAGGTATACAGTTATATAAATTACCAAATAAAACCGTTTTATAGACCCAAAATGTAAAAAATAAAGTATATAACAAAAATACTAAATGGCTGTTGGCTTTACTTGGTGCGCATCCTAATGATAAACTGGCTGTAAACATCAAAATCAAACATAACACAGGACGCAATGATAATATACAAACTGTTGTGATAAATGAACAGTGATAAAAAAGAAGATTAACTTCGCTTGACACTGAAACGCTTTCTGTGATCTGCACTAATATTTTAAGTGGTGCTTTAACTCGAAACAGGAAACTCATGAATATTAATGTAAACTCCACCTGGTGTCACAGAAAATCTCACATACCGAATATTTCAGAACACTGGTTAAACATTTCATTCGCATATAATCACTCACTGCTCTTGACCGAAGAACTTTAAAGGGGTCATATGATAATGCTAAAAAGTGGTGTAATGAAATGTGTTTATGTTATTAAGGTTCAGAAAACACATTATTTTCCACATACTGTACATTATTGTTTCTCCTCTATGCCCCGCCTTTCTGAAACGCGTCGATTTTTACAAAGCTCATCGGTCTGAAAAGCGAGGTGTGCTCTGATTGGCCAGCTATCCAGTGCGTTGTGATTGGCCAAATGCCTCAAGCGTGTGACGGAAATGTTACGCCCCTTACTATACTGTGTTTCCGTGTATCCCGGCGCGACGAGACAAAACCAATAAAACCCATTACAAACGAGGCATTTGTTGCATCCAGTGGGGACATAAT